AGGAGGAGGAGGCGAAGAACTGATGCAGTTCCTTTTTCCTTCCTTCCTTCTTCAACCAGTTGTTCTCTCCTTGTAGTCCGTGGCAAGACGGAGCTGGATGAGTGGTCGTCTCTCGATGGTCGTAGATGAAGGATCGCCCAATTCACCCCGGACGGCAGACATGTGCTTGGGTGAGTGGGTGGATAAAAATGTGTCTTTTTTATACGTTACTTCCTTCTCCATCCCGCCATTCTCTTCCTTCACCTTAGCGGTCACCTCCTCCTTGCCACCCTGCCTGCCTCTCTGTCTCCCTCCTTCTTTCCGCATTTGCTAATCTTCCTCCCGTCACACCTACCACCTCCACTTCTTCACTAGCTCATCGTCTCGAATCCACTCAACTCTGTTCTGCTTGACTAGGCTCGCACACCATCTACATCTGTAATGGTTGGCAATTTCGACTATTTCATGGTCTGCGACTGTTCCTACCTTCCTGCCTCTCTCATTGATAACTATGGATGCGCTCCCTGACAAAGTGGTGCCAACGAAACTGACAAAACGTGGAAATGTCATTATCTTCGTAGCAGGCCTTTCTGGCAACTTCCTCTATTGTTCTACCACTTTATTTTAAAAAATGCACTCCTATTCCAATTAACAGCATGGACAGAAGCACGACCTTGAGGGAGCTTTGGATGTTGATGATTGGTGAACAGAAGTGAGAGGAAGGGTATCTACATATTCTTAATAAGTATACATGCAGACTTATAATAAGTTATGGATGAGGGTGCATCAGGTTTTGTGCGTTGGAATGAGGGTATGGTGGATTATTCATTCCAAACCACCACAAATGAGGACGCTAAATAAGGTAGTCAGATTGTACCCATTGGCTTTGATTGTTCCAAAACCTTCATTCCTCGTCCACTACAGGGGTAAGTAGGCCAAGGGAGGGTTCAGTTGCAACGAAGAGGTCTGCTGTGAATAAATGTGATCTTTATGCAGAGCCATTGCTGGACAACGCGTAAGTGGAAAGTTTTCGTATTGGATGTGTTGAAGGGATGTAATTATGATCTACCAACTGATTGTGACAATGAAGTAATGTACAGTTCGAAGAGAAGAGGGAGAAAAGGAGGCGTGGCGCAGGTTGCGATAATGGAGGAGAAGGGGGAGGGTGAGATGTCGCCTAGTAGCACATGAGTAGCAGTGCTAGCAGTGGCGCGTACCTGTGTTCTTGCTA